GCTATAATATATATTACATCTCAAGCTATAATATTTTTTCGATCGACCGAGCGATATTTTCATATTATATTTCGCCCCCTGTACCCCGCACACCGTTCCGCGCCCCCGCAAACGGTGTACAGGGTAAAGGGGAGTAATCCAATGACCAATGACAAACGCACACTGGTTAAAAGATATATCTCACAGTGTGACAGCCAATCGCGGGATATAATTTATATTTTGGGATATAATATATATTATAACCCATAGTGAAAAGCCAGCCTTAGAGGAAGCGGAGGAAGGTGCGCCTTGTGTTACTGGTGCGCCTTACCTGAGTAGGAAAAAGGGGAGGAGAAGTCCTCCCCGAGGAGGGGGAGCATGAGGCTGTCACGCTGGTAGAGCCACGGATGTGGCGAAAGCGATACAGTGGCCCTGGCAATATGAGACGAAGATGGAACACCGTGAGGTTTTAGTCGGTGCAAGTCCGACATAATCCGTCCTTGCCCCTGCGAAGCGGCAATGTGTGCATTTCCACTTATAAATAAAAAAAGTTTAGGTTTAGTCATGTCTTGACTGGGGACATCGTGTTCATAAATTAGCATCTTAAGACAAATCGTCAACCGCACTCGGGATTGAAACGAAATAGTGGAACCACTATTTCGTTACCTCTTATTAAATACATTGACGGTTAAACATTCGGTGTTGTATAGAATGAGAAGGTAAAGTATAAAACAAATAATATTTTATACATTGCCTGAATGTTTTATTCTATACAGTACCGGATTATACAGATTGGCGATAATATATGTATTATAATAATCCAAGACTTTTTCTGCAACCAGGACGGCACCACTAGAAAGTGAGACATAATATTTGACAGATTTCATAGCGAAGCACTTAATTTGTTCGGAAAATGTAAAAGTTCTTATTTCTCTCTGTACTATTTAGCAATATTTTATATTAATAACATTAAAAATAAATAAACCAAACAACAGTCATTCATAAAAGTAGAAAAATTAAAAAAGTTAAAAATCTGCAAAAAATTAAAGAGCAAACTACTGATGACATAGAATTATTACCCAGTAGAAACACAGTCTAGTACAAAACACGAGCGTTAAGCTGAACGCAAATATGTCCGCACCGTACGCATCGTACGCGCTGTACTCGCCCTGTTTTACTGATGGCCTCGCACATATGCCTGTACGCATCGTCCGCACCGTCCGCAAGTATTTTGTATTACCAACAACTTTTGTAGTTTTTTCCAACCACTGGTGTGAAACGGTACATTGAAATTGATCGCTCGAAATCACTATGGAAAGAAATATAGTAATAGCCTGCTTATTGGCATAGGAAGAAGAAAAAAAATTTGGAGCAAAAGAAGATTCTGGATTCATAATATTAATTTAAAAAGGCAATTTTATGGAGAATATGAAGGGGATATACTTTATTTAAAGATTTATTAGGTGATGATGAACGATTTTTCAGATGTTTGCATTTAACATACAAGAAACTTCAAGAATTGCAACATGTACTAAAACCATATCTTTCTGTGGAAAACTCAAGATTTAGAAGACCAATTGAACCAGAAAAAAACTTGTTGTATATTTGAGATAAGTATTTTTATTGATAATTAAGTAATCAGGTATAATTTGGTTTTTGAATTAAATTTAACCATTTTTTTTAGTTCAGTTTGTAAATAATTTATCACTAAGTATTCATATTGATAACCGATGTAAAAAAAATCAAATTATGTATAATTAATTACGAATTAATTAAAAGTTATAAAAATACAAAAATTATCACGTAAGTCGAAACCACCAGTTATAATGGAAAATCCACTAAGTTGGCAACATTAGACAACACTGACAACACCACGCGCCGCGTTATATGACGTCATCAGCATTTGTCCTTCGATATCGTATACCTACCGCATTTTATAAAATTCGGCGCGTACGGTGCGAGTGTAATGTGCGAGGTTTCATATGATTTCATACAACGAATTCTAAAATTCGGCGCGTACGGCGCGGACATATGAGCGTTCAGCTCTAGTGACACAAGGTCATTATGTTAGTGGGCGCGAGTCGAATGTGCCTACGCTCGTCACACGCACACATACACGCCATTCAGTGATACCAGTTTCTGATGTTTGCAATCAAATTGTGCAAATCACTATTTTATTGATTAATTTTAAATAATCGATATGATAAAGATTACGTATTACATACGAAGTCGTAACGCAGTGTTACGTTTATCGCACGCGCTACCGCGCTCTGCATACACAGTGAAGGGCCATTAATAAATGTTCAGAGCATGAACTTTCAAACGTAGTGATACGACATAAACTAGTCTGGACGCCCGACTAGCTCATTAGGTATGACTGTTGTAAAAGTGCCATTTTTAATTGTATTTTTTTTTTATTTTAATAAATTGACTCTACTATTGAGACAGTATAATTTGACTGCGGGAAAACAACCACTAAAATTTTAGCATGTATATACGAATTCATCTAGAATCGTCTTAGAAATCAGTGTACATACATAATTGATAACCTCTCCTTTTTGGGAGTCGGTTGAAAATAGACTATGTTTGGGTGTAAAGTGACATTTGGTTAATTTTTGGGTGTAAAATGACATCTGGTTAGTAAAGGCGTTCTTATTAATAATCTCTCGATGTAGTAAATAAAAAAGTTTTTATTCTATACTCTACAACTTCGACTTAGTCAATAAACAAAGCAATTAATATAAAATAGTTGCCTTAAAATGGCGTCGACGGATCTCGATACGGAGTGATCAGCTGGAACACTCCGTATCAGTTTTAAATAAGCACCCATTGTTAATATTATGTTAATACTTAGAGAAGAAGGTATCTATATATAAACATTTGAGTTTTACACAGAGCGTTGCGATTAAACGTTTTAAACACAAATAGAAAATAAATATTTTTAAAGAAAATTGTTATTTTTTCCCCACAATTAGCAACATTTGTATTATGATAGCTTAGTTGAGTATTTTTTTAGTTTTACGTACTTATAATGAATAATATATATTAACTTATATGTGAAATGTAATACCATCACTTTTTTATGTTCATCGTCACTGTTGTGACAGTATTTTACAACACAAACGATCATTTTTACAATTTTTCGCGAGCTCTTCTCCGTAAGACGTGACCAATAACTGTCCTATACAGGAACGTGTCGTTCGTGGACGTGACGTTGTGCACTGACGCCGGACGCGTCGCTGAGTGAACTTACGTGGTTTCGCGTTAGTTTTACTTGCTTCACTTTTGGTGCGCGTACTAGTATTCTATACGTAATAATTCTATGACTGATGCATTGTTTTGTGTACTCTAGTAACTGATAAACTTTTATTAAAAACTAACTTCTCAATTAAATTACATTGTGTAACAAAAAAACTTTACCTCAGTGTCAACTAGCGACATCTGGTGAGCAGACAATTATTAGCCCTCATTACTCTAAGTTGCAAACCAAGTCACAGACCATGGACAATATTATGCACAGAGTACTTTTTATATACCTGGAAACTTGATGTCGCTAAACAGCGTGACCAGATTTAGTATTTTGATACCTTTTCAGTATATTTTATATATTTTTCTAAACATCAATATTTTTATAGGTACATTGCCAGAAGTCAGAATTTTTAAATTTGATAAGAAGTTATCGTAGCACCGTAGGGATCGTCCTCGAGAAATGAAATTTCACACACACACTGCCATGCATAAGGAATAAGAAATGTAATAGAAACTTTTCCATACAAAGTACAGTCAGAACAAAAATGCAGGTAATTGACAAAGAATATGTTACAATCTTCCAGTAATATCTCACCCATTTTTCGTGGACTATTTTGGGTGAAAGTTTGGAAAATATCTAACAGTGATGGCATGTTAAAATACAAAAATATATCTTATATCGAATGCTGCATGCGAGCGCATATTTTCATATATATATTTGATAAAATGGACCAAAGAAACAGCTTTATAAACGAAAATGTAATAGCAATATTTAAAACAAAGCAAGGTGGTAAAGGTGACGGTTGTGTCAATTTTAATCCTTCAAATAGAATGTTAAAATACAATTCTAATACCTCGTTTACACTCTCGTGCGAGCGGCGAGGTGAGGCGAGGCAAGTCACGAGGTACGAGTGTAAACGTTAGCTTGTGGCTCACCTCGCAGCTAGCCTCGCCACTCGCGACGTTTGCGTCGGACGCGGTTTTTTGGGCATGAGGAAAAGGGCCTCGGGAGGGACGCGAGCGTAGTGTTTACACTCACGCTCTCGTTTCAATTTGTTTACGGCGCCCTTCCATAATAACATTCGAATTGATTTTGTTTTAAAATTACAATTTTAACAAAATAATATTATTTATTCTTGCACAATAGGTACTAGCAATTTATATAAAATTATGAAACTGAAAAGATTCTGTTTCGATGAATAGATATCATCTACCATATTCTTCCTCAACGGCGTATTTTTTTAACTTCCTTCTTTTTGAAATGGTCAAGCATCGATAAATACTTATTAAGGCAAGAGTTGATGCCACTATTATATCGACGTCTTTCACCATTGCTGCCTCAACGCAAACTGAACGCATCGCGAGTGTGTAAACAGGCACTCGTTACCTCGCAACAACACGCGAGCTGCGAGGCGAGGTACGAGGCGAAGCGCGAGACAAGAGTCTAAGCCCGGTATTAGCGCCACGCTCGCGTCCCTCGCGGTGCCCTTTGCCTCATGTCCAGAAAACCACCCCTTACGCGAGTGGCTAGGCGAGCCACGAGCTAGATGAGCTAGCGTTTACACTCGCACCTCGTGGCTTGCCTTGCGACTCGCTCGCCTCGCCACTCGCGCGAGATTGTAAACGGGCTATAACATTCATTATGATGAGGGTGAATGAATAAAACATGTTAAGAAAATCAGTATTTATAATGTTATATTTACCCTGTGTAAGTCGGTATATTTCAGTATTTTTTGTGGTGCTTCGGTATTTTCGTACAATTTAATCTAGTCACACTGTCGCTAAATCAAGGCGCGCATTACGTATGCGTAAAAATTGTATTGTAATTTTAATAATAATTTGAGTCAAAGTTCACTATTCCAATATCACACTGAATAATGAAGCAATAGATAACTGGAAACGTTGTAAAATGGAGAGTGTTACGGTATTGCCACTATTTGTACGAATTTCAAAATACTTGTAGTTCTTAATTTTAATCCTTCAGCTTTTTAAAATGGTTTTACCCTTTCAGAACTTTTCTGTGTCGCTAATAAAGGGGTTTATAGACAGTCTACGCGGGGTAACAGTACTTTTATACCTTGACAAAGAAATAAATGAACGAGCCCTCAGCCGCTCTCCACAAATTGAATCTGAAAATAACAAATATAAACAGAAAAACGTGAAAGTCAAACAGTAAGTGTATTTTAATAACAAAATTACTGTTTACGTATTTAAGTCTCTAATCTGTTGATAAAAGTTGGTATAGGTTGTGAGAGATCCTGTATAAGTCCTTTATTGGACATATATATAAAGTATTTTATTGAAGGTTGAATTTCTCTCTTAGAACTAAAACACCAAAATTTTGACCTAAACTGATGTTAATTAAAGTTTAATTGATAATAATTGGACAAAAGTTGCAATAGTCATTGGAGCAAATGTACAATATTTAACAAGGGATTATTTACTGGGAGTTTCTGCCAAATGGATTAATTGCATGAATAAACCAAAGAACACATGAAACAAAAAAAGGTGGATCTGCTTTTAATCAATGCTTATGTAAAACCCCTGCCAATTGACAAAGACTACTAATGCAAGATCAGCGTATACTGGTTATTAGTTTAACACTTGGTCGATAAAAGACAGAGAATGAAAATTCTCACTCTTATTAATAATGAAGTTGCATGTCACCATGTTTGTAAATAGCAAAAAATGTGAAACAGACAAGTGACGGCTCTGTGGCGCAGAGGCTTAGTAATGGGTTGCAGTGCTAAGGGTCGTAGGTTCGAATCCCGGACGGTACAAGTATTTATGTTTTTTTTTTATAGGATCGAGTGACAAACTAGCACACAGTCCACCTAATGGTAAGTGGTTGCTGTGGCCCATAGACATCTACATCTATCCTCGTTTGCAAATCAAAATGCAGATGCATTGTCACTCGTAAGGACTAAGATGGTATGCCTCTCATCCAGTATAAAGGGTCTCCAGTTTTCTACACTCACCATACTAAACACAGCAGTGTTAAGCTGCTATTTTACGCTGGTATTCTGTGAGAGCGTGGTCCTTCCCCAGTCGAGCCGACCCATTCGTGCTACAACTATACTACTAATATAGCGGCAGCATGGCTCTACCACGTGGCCTACAAATAATTGTTCCAGGTCTAGATGTTTATCCTTGTGTAATTTATGTTTGTTGACTGCCTCCACGATACAGGAGAAAATCCTAGGTGGGGTAATATTTCTTTTTAACCAAATAAAAAAAGAAATACTAATACCTTGCATAACACCTCGGTGGATTCTACTATATACCAACCAATATCAAGCAACTAACCCTACAGTCGAAGCGGTCTTAATAAAGGCTAAGTTAATAAAATTACTTAATAAAAGCTAACGGGCTAAGTGATACAGACACTCGCACGCTGACGTATAGTGCATTTTGATTTAATGCCGCCACATAATTGTTTTTCAACGAAATAAACTGTAGGCTAATTTCACGAAGGTCACTTCTGAGGCGTGCAAAGTATTATGAACATTAGCGAGGTTTTAACTAAGTTTAAACTCGCAAGTTTGCTATCAGAGAGTGATCCTTCTGTTCTTTTAACTATTATTTATTCTGTGACATTAGTAAAGACACATTTGCATATTGACACAGAAAATTTAACATATCTATTGTTTGCTGTTTCTACTGTTTGATATGTTAATCAACGACTGAATTTAAAATTTCGATAATGTTTCTTTTAATAATGATTTAGGCTTTAAACCTAAACTAGTTTACATGTTTACAAGAACTTATTACCAGTACTGGAAACGTTAGAAAGACATGGAAGATAGTTAAAGAAGTTTGTAATCTAAGCCAATCAAAACAACCGACAACAGAATTGTTAAAAATTAAAGATACGCCAAAAGCTTCACTTAATCTAGTAAACACCTATTTCACAACAATTGGTTCACAGCTTGCAAATTATACTCTGAACACCATAGGCAAATCAGTCTCAGAACTTGCTGATAATTTCAAACAGATAGGTCCAACACATTCGATGGCTTTTTTCTTAACAGATCCTGAGGAAGTAAAAACTACTATTAACGAACTTAAATCAAATAGTTCCCCTGGCTGGGACAAAATTACTACTGATTTCGTTAAAAGGTATAGTCAAATTCTTTGCGCACCTATAGCACATCTATGTAATAGTAGTTTTCAGACAGGGCAATTTCCATCACTATTCAAGCAGGCCTTAGTAACACCAATATTCAAATCTGGTGATAAGTCCGTTCCTTCGAATTACAGGCCGATTTCTTTGTTACCTACTTTTTCAAAAATAATTGAGAAGCTTGTGAACAACAGACTTATAAAATATCTAGAGCGTTATGGATATCTAGCTGCGAATCAATTTGGTTTTAGGGCACATCGTTCAACAGAAGACGCTATTTTACAACTGATTTCGAAAATAACATCTTACGTAGACAAAGGTGATAAGTGCATCTGTGTTTTCTTAGACTTGCAAAAAGCGTTCGATACTGTGTCTATTCCTATACTTCTCGGACGTCTCGAAAATCTGGGTATAAGAGGTATGCCATATGCATGGTTTTGTAACTTCCTTAAAAACAGAACCCAAGTATTACGTATTGACGACGACCTAAGCGATAAAGCCGAATGTACCTATGGCATTCCACAGGGTAGCATTCTTGGACCAACACTTTTTTTGACGTACATAAATGAATTATGCAAAATTAATATCCGTAGTGCGGACCTTTTTATGTTTGCGGACGATACTGTAATCCTCTTTCATGGTACAGACTGGGATACTGTGCAGCAATGTGCTGAAAATGGATTACGCATGGTTACAAAATGGCTGGAAAACAATCTTTTAACTGTCAATTGTTCAAAAACGAAATATGTATGTTTTTTCAAAACAATAATCTCAAAACCACCCCACAGCTTCTCTGTCACCATGCATACGTACCCTTGTAATACGTTCCAAAAAAAAGAGAGATGTAAATGTACAATATTAGAACGAACATCTACGATAAAATACCTTGGGGTAATCCTCGACGAAAGATTAAATTGGCAACCTCATATATCAAATTTATCTAAACGAATTCGGAGACTCATTATAGTATTTAAGAACCTAAGAACTGTAGCGAATAAAAAACTACTAATTCAGACATATAACGCCCTTTGTCATTGTCTCATAAATTATTGCATCTGCTCATGGGGTGGAGCTCCAAAAACATATCTTATTGAGGCCGAGCGAGCTCAAAGATCTATACTAAAACTAATATTACATCTTCCTTATACATACCCAACATCTAAAGTTTACGTATTGTCAAATGTCCTCAGTGTACGAAAATCATATATATACAAATGCATAAAACGATATCATAATTTTTCCCCACTATATGTAGCTAAAAACAAAAGAACACAAAAATGTCCAGTACCATTTGTGAAAAGCACATTTGCGAAAAGGCAATATGACTACCAAGCACCTCATTTATATAATACAATTAATAAAAAAATTAAGTTAAATAACTTAAAAAGTTACCAAGTAAAACAAGCTATTTTAAATTGGCTAAAAGAATACGACTATGAAAATTGTGAAAACCTACTTTAAGTTATGTACACATATTTTAATGAAAACAGTCGCGCGCACATACACACACACACACACACACACACACACACACACACACACACACACACACACACACACACTTTTTTAAATATTTTTTATATATTTTAGAGTCTGTATTGTACACGGAAAATCAGATCACTTAATGGGTGGGAAACTGCCTCCTAACATACAGGGTAACCTAGTTTAGGAGTCAGAGAACCAATGAATTGTATATTATATCTGTGTTCAATAAAGAATTATTATTATTATTATGTATTTTGGTAGAATGTAAATAGTAGAGGTTTTGGTGCCATAATTTACTATAGAAATTTTTCTTCATTGTTCGTAATGTGTACAGCAATGTGTGTGTGTCTTATAGTTATCAGTGAACCTAACCATTACAAAGATTTAGTGATTTGAGTAATGGGCATTGGAGAGCCTTCTATTCCTAGTATATTTTTCGTTTTTTTTTTTTTGGTGGAAAACATTACCCCCTCACTAGGAGTTTCTCCTGTATTACAAACATCAAGACCCGGAACAATTATTTGTAAGCCATACACGTACTTGTTCCGTGCAGGATTTGAAACCGTGGCCCTCAGCGACGCAGTTTAATGCTAAGCCACTGTACCAACCTTAACCTTAAAAAAAAGCTAATTTGAAATTACAAAGATTTAGTGATTTAAGTAATGGGCATTGGAGAGCCTTGTATTCGTAGTATTTTTTTCTTCGTTTCTATTTGGTGGAAAACGTTAACCCACACTAGGATTTTCTCCTGTATTACAAACATCCAGACTCAGAACAATTATTTGTAGGCCATACAAATACTTGATCCGAGCAGGATTCGAAACGCTTAATGCTAAGCCACTGCGCCACGGAAATAGTAAATTAATTCCTGTATTTTTGTGCTATATTTAAAAGTGTAAACTTAGAACAAACATTTTTGTTTCAGAGAATCAAAAGTACTGACAAGAGTTTTACAGTCATGCATTCTTAACGGTTTTATATTTTTGCTGAGTATTCTCGTGTTCGAGTATGCTCTGTTACCAGCGGTGAGGTACTTAGTGCTGGCTGTGTTCGGTCACGACCCGGGCGTTGCACACAATGTATGGGCTTGGATGCAGCCCTTTCTGTCCATGACATTCAGGATGATTTGGGTGCTTCCACTATTTTTATTGAGCAAACTGGTGAATAGTTTGTGGTTTCAGGTGAGCACTACACCAATTAAAACAGATTCATAAAAATTATGTAGTTTTAAAGTTAAATGTTTACTAGAGTATTCTGATTGCACATTCAAAAACAGGCTCTATCTGCATTTGGTGACAGCTGTTTAATTATTTCATGAAAGAATTTTAGGGTAGTCATTAACATGCTAGGTAGATGTTTCTTTTTGTTGTTTCCACTCACAAGACCAAAATAGTGCAGTTTATATGAGCATGGCAGAAATCATAATAGAACTAAATTTTTCAAACTAGTTATCAGTCAACTTAAGTTAAAATTTTGTATGTCAGTAGACTAAACAAGGCCTTTTATAGATGGTGGATAGCCCAATTGAAAATTGTGTTCCATTGGCCGATTTAAACATGGCATAGGTACTAATATAATTGTTAGTTATACAGTATAAACTTCACAGGACATGCAATTTTAGTACCATCTTACAGCACCTAAGTATAGATTCAATTTTTATGCCAACCTACCACGCCACAGTGCAACGTTTAAAAAGTGGCCTATGGTCAATGTAACATACTAATAGCTGTAGGTCTTGTAATAATTAAGAGTGCCGTTGGTTGCGGCGTCCGAGAAGCCATCACCCTAACTCCTAGATTGGCTGTATATAAGGGGAGACTATGGGGCTGTGCTGGAAAAATCTTATCGCTTCCGTAAGATGGCGTTTACGCCCAAAGAGCAACATGATCTACCGGCGGACCGAAGGCGAGTAGCCATAGCTTTTTCCCTGATACAGAACTGTCTGCTATTTTTTGCAGGGGGAAATCTGCACACAGAAAAACAATCGCCTGGCACTATAAAACTCACACATAACGATTGAAACAATAGACTAACAATTTAAACACACACATCGATATAACAGTATCGCTTGGTAATAGTGACAACTCAGATCAATCCCTCGACCAATCTCCATATTGTGTGAGTCCGAACGGCCTGTTTTGATAAACAAATTTGATATCACATGACCGTTATTATTGTAATTTTTAAGTTTTAAAGAACAATTCGGCATTTTTGTAGGACGTAGATTCAGCCGCGCAACTAGATTTAGTCTAGTGAGTAGTGCGGCTGCAACTAGTTTTTCTGTACGCATAGGACCGTATGGACTTATACTTTGACAGAGGGGAATGACTGTGTATTGCTACTTCCCTCCAGTCCGCCCGTGCCTCGTGTTGTCCTGTTTACGCCAGACGTAAAATACGATTTAATATATAATGGTATATAGTTAATAATAATATTAACTCTATTTGATTTTCAGGACATAGCGGATTCGGCGTACAGACACCGGCGCGGTCGGCCGCAATTTATGTCAAGCGTCAGCAAAATCATTGCCGACTCACTTTTCAGTCTTCTAGTGCAAGCTTTGTTCCTAGTTCAGGTATATCGTTTGAAGTAGCAGCCAATAAGGGCTTATAATCTTCCGCTCACTAGATGTCGCTAGTTGGGACCGAGATAGCTTCATCTCTCATTTACTTACCAATATCAAAATTTCATTATAAAACTAATAAAATTAACTAAACCTCATTATTTTATAATTGACGTAAGGCAGAAAAATGACGTAAAATGATCTAAATAGAAATTAAAAACTTTTCTGCCAGGCAATTTTAATCATAGTACAAATTAAATAAGGTTAGTGTAGGATTTTTTTTAACAAGTAACAATGAATTAAGGTTTTACTTCACAAAATCTTTCTGGCATTTGACTTTCGGGCAAAGGTTTTCGACAGACATCGTCGTCATCATCATCATCATCATCATCATCATCATCATCATCATCATTATTATAGCCTTTGTAGTAATCTAGAATCACCCACTACTGAATGTGGGCCTCCATCTGATGAGGGATGAATTAGAGCATAATCCACCATGCTGCTCTAATGCGGGTTGATGGGGTGGTTTTAGGCCAGTTAATGACGTCCATATATACCTGTAACATACGAATACTGCAAACAAATCTCTCGCAAAGTAGATAGCTGATATTATAAAGAATGTAGGGTGTCGTTGAATATTTAAGATAGCTTCAAGCTTTAATCAACTGTTTGTAAAAAAAACTACAATAATTACTATTATACTAATACTATTACTAAAATAAGTAATTTCAAAATCAGTATAGGTAGGTAAAACATAATTTCAACTAAGAACAAAATTGCTAAAATTACAAAAACATTTCACAATCAAAACAACAAGAGTGAAAATATTGCATGCCTTAAGCGCAAAACGCGTAGGTATGTTCTACTAGCGCCTAAAAATCAAGATTCCAACGTTTTGTCGCATGAAATCATATCTAACAATCATATTGAACATATAAATTATATAAAAAGCACATTGTCAGAAAGATAAATGATTGTTGCACTTATTATTATTTCTTTTAAATCAATCAATTGCTGTTTTTACATAAAAAGCAGTTTCAGTAGCACAAGGTGTAGATTTATCAAGTCCGCATGGAGGCTTAAACACGATAACTGTGAAAATGCCAATTGTTCAACTCAATCTATTTTTTAAACTCTTCATCTATAATGTAGGAAGCCATGGAATGTAAATGGCAGTTTAATTTTGTTTTGTTTAGTTATAATTAATTTTTTTCGGCTGAAAAATAGCGAAATTTTCGAAAATTTTCTCTTGTTAAATTCATGCTAACGTGACAGACAATTTTCAATTTGACGCCAAAACGCAAACAAATGACAAATTAATAAAATACATACACAATAATATTGGAAAAGAGTTCTATTTTCAAAATTTGAACTTATTTTTTTATTATATCGTTTACAAGTGGTTCTAAAAACTTTCAGTGTCGTCCTCGTAACTCAATATCGCCCATATCGCTTGGTAATTATTGCCTTTCAAAGGTTGATATGTATTCTGTGGCGGTATTATATATAGCTACAAGTTCTTAAGTCGACTCTTTAATAATTGATTATACATGGGCGTATGGTTTGTACCAAGGGAGTCCCTTGGTACAAACCATACGCCCTAAGCGTCATTACCTATTTATGCATAGTTTCTGTTGGACACTTTCAGAGTATGGTGGTGAGCATGCTGCCGATAGCATATGTGGGCGAGCTACTGTGTCTGGTTCACATGTGCTTGTTATACTCACTGTACTCGTTCGAATACAAGTGGTTCAACATGGGCTGGGAACTGCACAAGCGGCTAACATTCATCGAGACTAACTGGCCGTACTTCCTCGGCTTCGGTCTGCCGCTCGCTGTACTCACGCAGATACCAAACTCTTATATAATAAGGTGAGTTGTTTATATCCCTCTCTTTATCTTCTCTTCTCTCCCCATTTTCATTGCATTTTTTCTCGCCAAAAACGATAATAGCTAATTTTGCAAATAGAGGGGTAAAAGGAATAGGTGCACACATAAAGACAACTAGTATTATTTTGTTATGTACATTAAATTTATAAATGAGTAATCCAGTAATCTTTGGCTTGATTTCGTTATATAGTTATTGAATTAAGGTATTGTACCAGGAACACAAAAAAAAATCAAACCCAAAGTCATATTATATGCCATCTATAAAGAAGCTCAAAGTCGAATAGCAAGATCTCTAGTTACTGTATATCAGAACCTGATAATGAATGCAATATTTAATTATATTGGATATATCAATGTTAATAGATTATCCTGGCATTACATTATATTCAATAAATCCTGTATTAATTTTTCCATGTTATTTGTAAACAGTATGGTGGAAAAAATTAAATTTTTTTTTTCAATGTAATCAATATATATAAGACGAACCACATGGGCTCTGAAAAGGAACCCTGTGAGACTCCTGAAGAAATGCTTCTCCAGTGTGAAGTGTAGTCTTTTAATATCACAACCTAAGACCAATTTTGAACATAGAACCAACAAATACACCAACAACATGGGTAATATCTTTCTTATATACTAAGCTTTCCAGTTGACAAGAAATGTTGAATTTAATCAAAGGCTCAGTATGTATGTACTCAGTATGCTCACCAATTTGATATTAATTATACATTTACAAAGTAACTTTGTTAACCTTATTTTGACAATTTAACGCATGGTTGATAATTCCATTTTATAAACAAAATCAGTATGTAATATGTTATTGTCGTGATTAAAAGCTAATATTAACGTGATTTTCGAGGCACGGGGGTGGAACCACTACACTACTAAGTAGTGTAGTGTAGTAAGTACTAAGTGGTAAGGGGTCGGCTCGACCGGGGTAGGACTACGCTCTCACAGCATACCAGCGTCAAATAGCAGCTTAACGCTGCTGTGGTTCGTATGGTGAGTGTAGAGAACCGGAGACCCTTTTTACTGGAAACGAGGCATTCCATCTTCTCAGGGGTGCCAAAGCATCTGCATTTTAATTCTTAATGAAAGATAACACAACATTCACTTACCATCAGGTGGATGTGTGCTCGTTTGTCACTCTTATTTTATATAAAAAAAACCGCTGTAACTTGACTCCGAGCTGGAGAATTTCTTGTCACAAAAACTTGTCAAAGTTGGAAAGTTGGTGTAGTTTACGATCACTCGAACAGTCAACTTACAATAAGAGCTTACTAGACCGCTGTGGAATCTAATTCAGAGACCGACACCAGAAAACAAATAATTTCTGCGTGATTTATAGATTCGTACTCATGACCATTTCGAGTGGCCTCGTAGCGCTAGGCGAAGTGTAAGGCAGTCCCCCACTAGATGAAGTAACGACCTGGTTAGATATGCAGGAAGTCGATGGATGCAGGTGGCTCAGCTTCGTGGCATTCCTTGAGGGCTGTAATGATGACGATGATGGTAATGATGATGACCTAAGTCAGGACCTAAGTCTGCAGGTATGTTCGCCAGCTTTTTAACCATACGTTTTAATATTGTGCAGGTGTCGAGACCTTTACATGTATTTTTTTTCTATTTCAGTGGTTGTGTATTCTCCATTTTCTTCCCGGTGTTCATTTTGAGCGGGAACGAGGCAACCCCTGTCATTGGAAGGTGAGTGATTCAAGACATGATATTTTGATTTGACCACTACTTGAAGTAAGTTAAAGCTTTGTGGTCAGTGTAGTAAATTACTTCCAAGTGAAACCCATTCCAATGATGGCATCACAGTATATGGGCCATTCTCAAAAACGAACTTAAAATTCTAAAAAATATTTCTTTATTTCGATCTGATTCAAAGCAGTCTCAATTGAAAGGTATCTTATTTTGCAAAATGGAACACATAAAAGCCTAGCTATTTTCACTGTAGTTTTTACAAAAAACATGAAAAATTTAAGCACCTCTCCACGGAAGTGACACTACTCCACGGTATTAAGATATTTGTATAATTTTAATAAATTATTAATGATTTATGAACGAATAAAACGATATTTTTTTAAATTATTATCTGTATATAAATAATCAGTTTGGTATTTATTAATTTTAAATCTTAATAAAGTACGTGTTTACGCTAAATTAATATTATGTTAATTATGCCGATTACTAATAAGTTTTATAGCAACACAAGTTAGTTAACAAATATTTATTCGGTTTTATCTGGGCAACGCAACAAGCAACCTTTAAATAGTAATTAAATTATTATTAATCAACATTATTTAGTTAGCATATAACTTGCAAAACTTTTACGAAATAAAGTAACTGAGACTATTTAAATTAATATACATGAGAAACCATAATAAAAAGTAGTAACAACTTAATCATTTTTAGAAAAAAATAAAACCAAGCAAAGAATCTTACTCATTAGAATAATCTTAGCGAAGATGAGGGAATGAATGTAATAATTTTTTTTTAACATTTCTTCGACCGCAATGTGATTATGATAAAGTAACAGTAAGGTACGTGAGGGTAATATGGTCACCTTAAGCTTTATCGCCTTATAAAACCAAAACTACGAGGAGGACAGAGACAAATACACAATGTCGTATACTATAACTAATATGGAAAAAAAAAAACAAACAAGCCTTGGCAATAATTAGCAACACTTCGAAAAATCAACTTAAAAAAACTAACTATAGTACGTGAGGGTAATATAGTCATCTGGTTAATATGGTCACTTGTCATAACTCAAAAACTACAGTGTCATTTGCATAGAACGCTATGTGAAAGCTATCGCTTTTGATCAGTCTATCAAATAATAAAAGGTCAAAAAGGAGCTCCTTTATCGACGCTATTTTGACAGTTGGTATTATTGTAAATATTTTAGTCAATTTTTGTATTGTGTAGTGTAGTTAGTTTTTTTAAGTTGATTTTTCGAAGTGTTCCTAATTATTTCCAAAGTCTGTTTGCTATTTTTTTCTTAATATATTAGTTATAGTATACTACTTTGTGTTTTTGTCTCAGTTCTCCTCCTAATTTTGGTTTTATAGGGCGACAAAGCTTAAGGTTACCATATTACCCTCACGTACTTACTATAATATCAACTGTCAAAATGGCGTCGATAAAGCGGCGGCCTTTTGACCCTTTATTATTTGAATGACTGATTAAGAGCTATCGTATCACAAAGCAATCTATGCAAACAAGGCTGTAGTTTTTGAGTTATAAGAAAGTGACCATATTAACCGGATGACCATATTACCCTCATGTACTCTAATAACTACAATCCGAAACATCTTTAAACTGTGGCCAAACAAACTCCGTGTATTCTTCATCACACTTGTCAACTGGGATCAAACTTGATATAATACTAAAACTTTTGTTTATAGAAGTAGGGTGACAAAAGAGCACCCAATTCACCTGATAGTAAGTGATTGTTGTGGCCCATAAACATCTACATCTATCCTCGATTACGAATTAAAATAGAGATGCTTTGTCACCCCTGAGGACTAAGATGGAATGCCTCTTTTCCAGTAAAAAGTGTCCCCAGTTTTCTACACTCACCATACGAAACACGTCAGCATTAAGCTGCTATTTTACGTTGTCCCAGTACGCCTCAGTCGATCTGACCCATTCATGCTACAACCAAAACATAGCTGCAGCGTGGCTCTACCACGTAACAGATTAGAGAATTATAATCCAGTACAGTGACAATTTAACCAATGTAAAATATTTCTGTCTTTTTGCAGACCAATTTAATGAGTTGCCTTCGATCAATTCTCGAAAAGAAGTTACAGGTGTTATTTGAGTTCGGTCAAATGTTTTGGGTTCTTCAGTTACTGTCACAGTATTTTCTGGCACTCTATGTGGAATGTCATGACTTGAGCCTTGATGAATCAAGTATTCTAGGCGAGTAATTTTCTAATACTGTTGGAGATAGGTCTCTGTAAGATGACAAAATACGGCTTCAGATAGAACATCTACTTAGACCGGAAGAGAATGTATGCTTGAAACATTAGGAGAATGCCTAATGTTTAAATGCCTAAATGAAACTGGATCATTTTCAATGTCACTTTAAGGCGATCATCACGCAAACTCGATAAAAATCTTTCCCTGCATTTCCCATCTATTCTACAATTTTTTTTGCCTCTTACACCATTCTTTTTTCGGTTTTTTTTTTAATTTTCTTTCTGACATTTGATCAATAGATATTATTTTATTTTAAATTTCTATAACGTTCTCTTTCTGTAGCTTTAGCCTGTTCGTACAACTGTGGATTGGACTTTGTTTTTTCCGACGTCGTTCTTGCATTCTTTTGTCTTGCGATTGATCTGTTCCTGATTTTTAGTGCTATAATTACCCTGGATCAAGAAATATTTACATATTATAATTAATCACATTGATAATTTTTAAATTACCAAAGAGCGATCACTGTACTGTCACATCCATGGAAATGAGATTTAATAAATTAGATACCGTTTTTCGTAATCTCAAATGCTGATTACTAAAAATGACGAAATACCAAGATCCGATATACCTTAGAGAAATATCCGGTATACCTTATTTAAATAAATACTTCGTAATAAGTAATCCACAAAAGTGACTGAAATAGCATGCTAATTAAAAAAAATCTTACTATATAGGTCTTTACTCCAAAATTATTATCCCAGCACGGACAAACTGTCAAAAATGTTCAAGATGGCGTTGTATTTGTTGTCTGTATTCGTTCAGGAACTGTATTTACTGATTTATTGAATCGTGGCTGCGTTCTGTAAGTTTATCCATGGAGGTGATAATTTTTCCACGCACAAAACTTATGAAATATTTGGAATCATTTATTTAATTTGTGTTTTAATTATTTTGTTTTTTAGAAAGATTTTTCCATGTTTTATTGTAAAAAAATATGAAATAATTAATTTATTATTGATATATATATAATATTAGCCAGTAGTATCATAAGCTGATTTTGCACACGACATTTTAACGACACGTTAACAGTGGTAGAGCCACGCGGCAGCTTTTGCTGTCGCACGGATGGGCCGGCTCGAACCGGGGTAGTACCACGACCTCACAGAATACCAGCGTAAAGTAGAGGTTTACCTCTGCGTTTCGCTTGGTGAGTGCAGGTGGCCGGAGGCCCTTTTTACTGGAAATGAGGCATTCCATCTTAGACCTCACGGGTGACAACGCATCTACATTTTGATTTGTAACAGAGGATAGATGTAGATGTCTATGGGCCGCAGCAACCACTTACCATCAGGTGGACTGTGTGCTCGTTTGTCACCCTTATCCTATAAAAAAAACATGGAGGTGACATTATCGTCACTTTCTTTATGATGATTAAAAAAATATTTATGTTAAGTTTTAATAAAAATCCTGTTAATATAACCTACTTCGATTAATTGTAGATAGGTATTCTAGAAATAATACAAGTATTTCATTTTTTAATACAACTGCACAAAATAAATTTGCAAAGATGAGAGTGGCCCATATCCAGAGACAATATATTTTTTAATAGAAGTAAGAATGTTAAACGGATGCTGTAGACCATAGACACATATATCTATCATCTGTGTTGAAACAGTAAGATTTTTCTGGCATTGGTTGATGGGTATTTTTCGACTAAACCACAACTAATATATTTTCTAGGAAGTATCAACTCGGATATGATATTAGCATAATTTTACGTGCTAGCGCATAGGCTTATTATAAACTATAAGAGGTTTATACTGTAAGTATGTCCATCACCCCATTTCCTACCATGGGTTTCGTAGGAGCTGACTATGGGAAATACCAAATAATTGCGATATATCGATCAAAGGCTTCCGATAGATAGCATTATAACCATCTCGTGTACACCAGACATAATATATTCAGACCGAAGAACAGCAGCGTCAAAGGTGCGACACGTTAAGGCTCGTATTAATAAACGTTACTCTGCTCAAGTACACGCATTTGAGTACAATCTTGAGGCTATGATCTTATTAATACACATATCTCTAGATGCGGTTTAGGTTTACGATATCAGATGAGTGCCACACTGATTACCGAAACTCGACTCTCAAGTGTGTGTACTTGAGTGCAAGTCACAGTATTCCTAAGTACAGCGTTTTGAGATATTGTTTTTATGTGTTTATTAATTAGCAACGATCTGGAGATACTGGTATCGTAATGAGGGCGAATCAAATGATTACGCACTTGAGTTCGTCGTTGTGTAACGTTTGTTAATACTAAGTGCTACGACCGTGAACCCAATCCGTCTGCCAAGAGATGGACGATGAAGGCAAATCGCCGCTCTCGTGCGTGTGAAAACAAGTAGTAAATCAGCACTCAATAATTTAATTGGTGCCAGCAGGGATCGAACTGGGTTGCTCTGCTACTACGACTGGGCACGTACATATTATAATCGTATGCTCACCAAGTGTCGCTAGTTGGGACTAAGGTGAACTTATTTTGTTACGCAGATTGTTACACAGTGTCATCATTGAAAAGTTACGATTTAATTATAAATGTTTTAGTTTCATGTGTATATAGTTAGTATATACACAAAACAATGCCTCAGTGCTGTACTCTTTAATTTTTTACACATTTGTAACTTTTTAATTCTTCTACATTTAGGAACATCCGTAGTTATTAATCAGATTCTAATCTAATTAATTTAAATTATAAGTAATATTTCAGAAAGGAACATTTATCTGTACATTTTTTTAATAAATCTACCTCATTCGTAAGCGGCTCCGCCCTGGTATCAGAAAAAGTCAGTAGATCATTAAAATAGATTTACTAATATTACAAATCGTGATAAAATACATTAAATTCGCTTTATTCATGTTAATGTAAGAATATTATAATGTGATGTCGTTCGCAGCGAATATCCACTGAGGTTATTCTCACCGGTGGTGGCGATCTCTAACGGCATGTTCCGGCTCGCACGACGCACCGCTGACGTCGACAGGAAGAGCTGATAGCGGAAACTACTCGTACTATACCTACCTTAAAAGTCCTTATTTATACTTTTTACAAACTTTAAACCAATTTAAATCCATGTTATGTTACATATTATACATAGTATAATATTATGTGAGTAAATCAATTTGTGCAAAAATATTGGAGCCGTGAACAATTTGTATGATGGCATGACTTATCTATATAAAATAGGTGCAAGTAAAGCAATTGAAATTGTAGTGTTTATGAACTGCCATAAGAGTTTGTTGAAATTAAGGATTTCTGTGTGAAGTCACGCATGAGGGCAGCGCGGTGGACTTCCCTGTCCCTATATTCTCTTAAATATGAGGGAGCTTTGGGATTTTTTTTAGGTTGTTACATTATTGTAAGACAAGATTTCTATGGCTTCATTAATCAATGTATCAAATATTATACTGAATGAAATGAAAATTGTACTTAGTAACTTGTTTCTTTTACAAAATATATATAAAAATGTTTTTTTTTAACATTTAGGTTAGCCCTAATTGTTAAAAAAATATTCACAAGTATGTTAATTACGTTACCAATTTTTAAATAAAAATTCATAAAAATTATGATTTATAAAAAAATTTGCAAAAAAAATATAAGACTTATTTAAAGGAAAGACTGTAATATAATTGAAGGTATCGTAGGTATATGATTTGTATGTTTGTACCTATAATATAAAAGTTTTTCGTGTATATAATATTATAGAACATGCTTCTCTATGAAGAAGTTTTGTAGCTTTATATTTATTATTTTAGTTTTTTCATAGCTGTAGAAGTTTGTGAATGAAATTTAATAATTTTATTTTATATGGATATATTTTTAAAGTGTTCATGGAATATTGAAACGGATTGTTGGAATTTTAGTTTGAGTTATTGCATAGTTTTGATGCACGGTGTAAAAGTCTTTACTTGTTGGCGAAAGTTTTTAAATCACTTTTATAGGAGCTCTTAAGATTTATAAAAATATAGATATTCATAGCTTGCTGAAATTAATTTATAGTTTAATAATTTTTTTTGTTTTTTAATTTTTAACCACTGCATCTTTGGCTGGAACCTGCAACTGTATAAAAGAATTGTCTCTAAGGTATAAATTTCCATATTATACATTTTTGAACCAACTGTGAATTGGATTGTTGTTACATCCAACACATGTTGACTTCATTGGTGTTTTTTATAAATATAAATATTAATTTTATGGTACCAGCCTAGCAGCCAGCATGTGCGCAGCGGCAATGTGTCATACATGAATATAAAATATGTAAAAGTTTTTTTTTAAATTATAATTTAAAAATGTTTTTTTTTTTTTAAGTAGCTCAGAGTCAGAATATTTATTGCCTGTGCATGTTCAATTTGCGGGTGACATTGCAATTAAATGTTATACGGTTTACTCATGTCGGGTGTGCAATAATTAAGAAACAAAAACTTTATTTAAATTATAAAAAAACATTATGGAGTCTTCAGAGGTGATGTGGAGTCGGCTGCGGGTGTCCACGGACTGCAGTGGCCACTTACCATCAAGTGAACAGTAATTCGCTTGTCACTACAATTTTCTTAAAAACAAAAACTTATGGCTTGATTTCTGATAAAATACAACAGCTAGGGCGCTTCTTCTGGACTTTATATGGCAATCAATAGCATATTCATGTCATCTGTAACAAACATTAACTTTGATAAATATTTGTTTAAATTAAATGTTATCTCGATATAATATTTCTATTGTATATAATATTTTATATACAATGAAACAAGGTCCGTTATTTTATGAATTAGTTTATACGACATAGGTTATTGGAATACGGTTTTTAATTATTTTGTTTGGTTTAAAATATTATACAACATTGTGCTGTGCCACATTGATTTGAAACAAAAATTATCAATTGTGTTAATTTATAATTAATCTGCATGAAAATTCACTTATTTATATTTTATTATTTTTTGAATTACTTCACATTATTATGAAACGGTATAAATTACTTAAACTATGAATTTTATGCCAATAAAGCTTATTTGGGGATTGTTTATTAAGTTATAATTTATACAGGGATACTGCAAATATATTTAATTAAGTTTTTAATGTATTATATATTTAAATATTTATACGCTCATACCCAATAGTATAAAATTAAAAGTTGTAATAATATCAAGATGGTGCCTGGATATTAGATTTAAATTGATAATATTGTAACACTAGTTACGCTTTGTGTAAGGCGCACCTTACTTATATGATAATCACTCTCATCCTGATGCGTCTGTAATTTCAGCCAATTGTGATTAATTTATTTTACATGACATAATTTATTAAATTAAAATGACTGAAGAATAAACTAAGCTTGTGGTTTTATTTGTGGACCCTATAATGTCAGTATTAAACTTATTTTTTATTTTAATGTAGTAACCGTGTAGTGGCGGTGTAAGAATATCCGCTACCCTGTATCATTCCGTACCGACACAGGGAAACTGAAGTAGAAAGACAACAGCATCTCCCTAATAACCGATTCAAGCCCGCTTTTCACTATGGGATATAATATAATATATATTACATCTCAAACTATAAATAGTTTTTCGATCAACCGAGCGATACTTTCATATTATATTTCGCCCCCTGTACCCCGCAGACCGATCCGCACCGCCGCAGTGCAGATGGCACGCCATCGATTATTATTTCTCTGCGTCGCTTATGACACGCAAGTGTTATTTATAAAAATCAATCATCATTCAAATTGCGTTTTTGGAAGATTTATCCAGAACAAAATATTCATTATTTCGCAAGTACTTCATGCCTACAGCTTCGTTTCTGGATATTTTGAGAATTTCCAATTTTTAGGGGTTGACCTTTTCTAACTTTTACATGGTAATCTTTTTACTGTGTGGGTATTTTTAAATCTTGGTGTGGAAAAATACTCTAATAAGTAACAAATAATAGCATATCAACGTATTCAGCATATATAGCATAGCATATATACCTAGTCAGGTCATAAATTCTGTCACATGTTTAATATAAAATAATTGAAACAAGTTTATTCATTATGTAACCACTTATATACCAAAATGAACTTAACAAAACAGATTCTTATGACACTAAAGGTTATTCAAAATAACCTCCGTGATTTTGAATACAGGCCTTCAATCTGCGCGGCCAGTCGTCTATCGCAGCACGAACGAGGTCCATGTCAATATCGGCGGCTGCCTTAATCAAGGATGTCTTGAGTGACTCCAAATTGGGATGAGGCTTTGAGCACGCCTTTTCCTCCAAGTGTTGCCATATCTTGTAATCTAACGGATTCAAATCTGGACTGGTGGAGGGCCAGTCTTCGTGCCGGATGAAGTGGATTTCACGCGCCGCCAGCCAGTCTTGTGTGCTATTCGCTCTATGAGCTGGCGCCGAATCTTGTTGGAATACCCAGTGCCTGTTATTGAACATGGTATGAGAAACAGGTTCCACAAGGTTCGTCAGGACTGTATTTTGATACACAATTCGTTTTTACACCTTTCTCACAAAAATGTACCTCTGTTAAGCCCCAATAATAAACTCCCAACCATACCATGAGCGAGGATGGAAAATGACCTCGTTGGACACGCGGAATACGGTTACTCGCTTCTTTACTACTGTGTGCGTACACCTTATCATTTTGTTTGTTGTAGCTCTCTTCTACGGTAAAAATTTTTTCATCCGAAAAAAGAATTTCCCGATATTTTTTTCCCGCGTACCGCTTCAACAAAGCGCGGCATCTCTTCAGTCTCAGGTCCATTAGACGAGCATTCAAACGATGTCCTGTTTTTCTTCGATAGGCCCGAAGCCCTAAGTCTTCATTTAACACCCTTTTCAACGTGGTTCTGCTTAACCCCATCTGAAGGGCCAACAGTTTCTGCTTACGTTTGGGATTTCTTTGAATTTGCGCCTTCACATCACTTATCACTGCTGGAGTCCTAACAGACCGACGGCGACCACTTCCTGACCTGTCATCTACACTAGAGTCTTCATTGTATCGTTTGATGGTACGATAAACGAATCTTTTGGTTATATTCAAATTTTTCAGTATGTCAAAAATTTGAATTGGCGCGTAAGCGCAACGATGCAACGCAATAACTGCAACACGGTCTTCTTTAAGCGTCCACTCCATATTTAAAAATGAGTAAAATTCTAAAAAGTATACAGTTTTATTTTCATGAACAATTCGAAATTCGAATTCAATAAACTTTTTTGTGGCCAGCATTCTAAAAGAAAAGTTTTTACTGTGTGACAATACTTATGACCTGACTAGGTATATCAGCATCAGTGGCGTAGTGTGCCTTCGATGGGCCCTGTATCAAAATGTGTTGGGGGGGGCCCCAATGAAGAGTAAAGATTTCATAAAAGGAACAAAAACGCTTGCATTGAATTCAAATTATTATATATTGATTTTAAGTTATTCACCATCATCATTACAGCCCTTCATAAGTCCACTGCTGAACATAGGCCTCCCCCAAGGAATGCCACAAAGCACGGTCCTGAGCCACCTGCATTCATCGACTTCCTGCATATCTTACCAGGTCGTCACTCCATTTAGTGGGGGGACGCCCTACACTTCGTCCGCCGGTACAAGGCCGCCACTCGAGAACCCATTTCCCGATCGGTTGCCGGTTCTTCGAGCTATATGTCCGGCCCATTGCCACTTCAGCTTAATAATAATCCGTTGAGCTATGTCGGTGACTCTGGTTCTACTGCGAATATCCTCATTACTAAGTTTACCACGAAGAGAAACTCCGAGCATAGCCCTCTCCATAGCTCGCTGAGCGACCTTGAGCTTCCTCATCCGGCCAGCAGTGATAGACCACGTCTCAGTACCATATGTCATCACTGGCAACACGCACTGGTTGTACAGTCTCGTTTTCAAATTTTGAGGTATACCTGACTAGAAGATGTGCCGTAATTTCCCGAACGCTGCCCAGCCGCGTCTAATCCCTCGATTGACCTCTCGGTCGAAGTTGGACTTACCTAGTCAGACTATATATCCCAGGTAAACATAATCGTCAACAACTTCGAGCTTAGTGCTCCCAACAACTACCGGCATAGGTGTGACATGGACATTAAACATGATCTTTGTTTTTTCCATGTTCATCTTAAGTCCTATCCGTTGGGAAACACTATGGAGGTAATTAAGCATAGTGCTTAGGTCCTCCAGCGATTCTGCCATAAGGACTATATCGTCGGAAAATCGAAGGTGAGTGATGTACTCGCCATTGATCTTAATACCGTATCCTTTCCAGTCCAGAAGCTTGAAAACGTCTTGCAATGCAGCGGTGAAGAGTTTCGGGGATATAACGTCTCCCTGTCTTACACCTCTCTGCAATTGGATAGGTTTCGTACTCTGGTTCTGTACTCGGATAGCCATCGTAGCCGTACTGTACAAGCACTTCAGCACTTCGATATACCGACAGTCAACTTGGCATCGCTGAAGGGACTGCAGCTCCGCCCAAATTTCGACGGAATCAAAGGCTTTCTCATAGTCCACATACGCCAGACATAGTGGCAAATTGTACTCTTCGGACTTCTGTAAAATTTGCCGACGGGAATGTATGTGGTCTATGGTGCTAAAGTCTTTTCGGAAACCGGCTTGTTCGGAAGTAATGACTCTCGAAAACAGCACGTAGACGCGGCTCAGAAGGGAACTCGGACTGTAGTACTTCAAGAGAGCGTTATCACCTTTCTTGAAGAACAAGACTACCGCACTTCTGCTCCACGCCTCCGGAGTAGTGCCACCATGGAGGATGGAATTAAAGAGCTTCTGAAGGACTTCAAGTACCGGTTTTCCACCCGCTTTCAGAAGCTCCGCTGTAATTCAATCCTCGCCTGGGGCCTTGCCGTTTTTAAGATGCTGAAGAGCTATTCTAACCTCGCTCTGACTGAGGTCCGGTATATCATCGGAATAGTATCGTTTAAGACTCGCTCTTGGATCGTTACTCACACTTACGTGTGGCTCCAACGATGATGTGGACAGCTGCCGATAGAACCTCTCAATCTCACTCAAAAACTAAGGTGTCCTGGAAACGACGCTGCCACACTCGGTCTTCAGCTTCGACAGTTGGCTCTTTCTGGCAGACAGATCTCGTGCAAAGACTTTGGAGCCTTGGTTCCGCTCGATCGTTTCTTTAATACGAGCAGTATTAAAGTTGCGCAAGTCCCGCCGCATGCATTTGGGGATCTGTCTGTTCAGTTGCCTGTATGCTGCCAAATCTACTGAAGAATGCAGCTATATATCCCGTCTAACAGCCATGAGAGTGTTATCAGAGAGTTTTTGTGTTCTTCTGCGGCGGGTCTTGCAAAACTTAGTTCCGACCGCATGGACAGTTTCCACGAGCTTGTCATTCATATCGTCCATTGCATTGCAATCTTCTAGGCACTGAAAACGGTTTCGTAGCTCGAGCTGAAATGTTTCGGGACTTTGGATTAGAGCACGAGGGGGACGGAGCGTTGACTTCATTAGACGTGACCTCTCCAACTTAACGTTTAGGTTCAGTGTACCTCTCACCATTCGGTGATCGCTGCCGGTTTTCACCCTCACGATCACTGGGACATCACTGAAAAGTTGTCGTCTGGTCGTCATAATGAAGTCAATCTCATTTTTTATCGAACCGTCGGGGCTCGACCAGGTTCACTTCCTGTGGGGCCGCTTCTGGAAGAAAGAGTTCCTCATGAAGAGTCCCTCTTTCTCCATGAAGTCGGCCAGCTGCTGGCCCGTTGGGTTCCGTGGCCCTATTCCGAATTTCCCTATTTTCAGCTCACCGTTCTCTCTTGCGCCTAGTTTTGCGTTGAAGTTTCCCATTATATATTATATCCTATTATATCCCGTATAGTGGGTTTTGGAGGAATGCATGGCTCTAGAGATATACATTTCTTCCACCTCCTCATCGGCGTGTGCCGAGGTTAATGCGTAAACCTGTATGGCCTTCAGCGAATACCGTTTGGTGATTCTGAGTATAAGGTACGCAACCCTCGTCGACACACTCCCAATATTTACAACGTTGTTAACGAGAGATTTGTGGACGATAAATCTGACACCTCCTTGGGACAGATGATCGCCCTTCTGGTGATAGAACAAATTGCCGGATTCGAGGATTACCGTGCCCTCCCCCTCTCTTCAGACTTCGGATAATCATATGACATTCCAGCGCAACTTGTCTACCTCTTCTTCCAGCTCCAGGATCTTCTCGTCAGTCCTCAGGGTGCGTGCGTTATAAGTTGCCAGGTCGAGTCGTCGTAGGTGGCAACAGAACCTCCACCGGAGTTTCTTAGCACCCCCTGCCCCGCTGTTACCATGCTCGCCACCTTAGCCAGGAATAGCGGGGCTGCCGGGGACTGGGGGCCGTCTCTTCGTTACTTTCATGGGGGGTATATTACCATAGTTGCCACGCTTGGCGAGCGGGTTGGCAACGGCAGTTTTTTGTTGTTGTTTTGCTGTTACCAGAAAGATACTGCTGCCCATCCTCAGCCTCAGTTTCCCTCTGTCGCCTTTTACGACACCCACGGGAAGATATGGGGTAGGGAGTATTCTTACCCGCCACTACACGGGTTTTTGAGTTATTACTTACAATTAATACTCCTAGGAACTAAGCTAGCCAAACAATTCAAATCAAATATACACTTTTCGTGCCTTTTGTTCGGTGAACATAGCTGAAGATGATTCGGCTGCATTCATAGCTGAAGACGATTTCAGTTTTACTAAATTCTTTACTTCTATAGACAATAGTGATAGCCTTTCCTGTCACATAGAAGTCCTTGAAATTTTTGCTCACACACGTTCGGGGCCCCTGTGGCCCGGGGGCCCCATATCATTGATACGGCTGATACGGCGGTAGCTACGCCCCTGATCAGCATATCAATATAACAATCATTGCGATCGCTCACAAACTCAAACAAATTTCTGGAAAACAAGTCTCCTGTTAAAAAAAACAATGCGTTTGTCTTATTGTTTAATTTTGCTTAAAATGGTTTAACTGCCGTCTTACTATCATATGGCCGAATGGATCTACGAAGTACCACGTGCTCTTATGAAATGGTATAAGTTTTATTTTAGCTTGAAACAGTTTGAACGCGTCCATGTATAAAAAAGTTCACTAATAAAATAGTCTTTTATTCATCAGCCTCCGTATAGGGCCGGCACATCGGGACTATTCTTACTAATTAGACGTTTTTAGACCGACTACTTTTACATTTGTATAATATTTAATAATATATAACATTTGTAAATATCAATGAATAAACCTTATTTTTTCCAAATTAAGGTTCTTGATTGTTTGATATTGTTACGAGCTTGGGGTTCGAGACAGTTAAAAACTGCCGATTGAACTACCAAAATTGACACTTTAATTACACAACACTAATTACAATTTAAAACCACACTAATAATAAAACACAATTTTACTACTGATCACTTAAGTTCGCAGTTGTTTCGCTTCGAAGTATTCTCTTGTATCGCCAATTCAATACTGACTTGGTCATGGTCTATACCGGCCTTATACCTATAGTAGAAGTATTAGTATAGTAGAAGGTTCTGGAAACTATCTAAGGCCCTAGCCTTAGATAGTTTCCAGAACCTTCTACTGTAGCGACATCTAGATGTTCGAGTACATATCGGTCCCGAAATTTCTAGAAGGGTCTTGACTCTCCAAGTTCTGCTACTCGACACTAGAGGGCGCTAGTGTAACTATTGTTGCCATGTACAAGACATTAATAGTGGCGCGTAACACTGCCCCCTCCTAAGATATGCTCGTCCCGAGCATTATTGGCCCCATAATAACGCGCCAGTCGATCCACATGGACAATCTTAGGAGTACCTCTGACACCTTTCTGTATCCGGTAGGTTACGTCATTGATCCTTGTCACAATCCGGTACGGTCCGTCCCATTTAGCTTGAAGCTTAGGAGATTTGCTGCGAACTGGATTGTGTAACCACACTAGTGAACTTTCGTCAAACCCTTTGTTGTTCATTTTACGGTCATACCTGACGTGCTCATAAATGTCATTCATTTTGTTCCGCAAGTCATTTGCATAATCGGTTATACTGCGTGGAGCATCAGGTGGTATTCCGGTGATCAGGTCTGCAGGCAGCCGTAATTCTCTCCCAAAGTTTGCGAAAGCTGGTGTCACTGATGTACTTTCCTGAACAGCGCTTCGATATGACAACAAAAACGGTTGTATGTGGCTGTCCCAGTCTCGTTGACGTTTTTTCACAACTTTTGCTAGGTACCTCTCCAATGTCTGATTAAATCGTTCTACCATTCCATCAGATTGTGGGTGGTAAGAAGTTGTTCGTGTTTTATGAGTACCCATAACTCGGCAAGTTTCCTGGAATATTTGAGACTCAAAATTTTTTTCCTTGATCGCTGTGAATCTCTAAGGGTACTCCAAAACGACAGAAGATTTTATGAACTAGTTTATCTGCAACTGTTGAAGCTTCTTGATTTGGAATGGCGAAGACTTAGTGCAGTAATCCATCACAACCATGAAATACTTGTTACCACTTTCACTTTCCGGAAACGGCCCCGCAACGTCAATGGCTATCCTCTCCCATGGTGCACCAACATTGTACAATTTCAATGCGCCTCTACTACGAATTTGAGGTCCCTTAACAGACGCACAACTTGTACATTTGCGGCACCAGTCCTCGACATCGTCACGACAGTGGACCCAGTAAAACCGTTCTCGGATCTTCAGTAGAGTTCGCTTAACTCCCAGGTGGCCTCCTGAAGAACCACTAGGGAACCTTAGAGACAACCATTTGCAAATGACGTCTGTCTCCCCGGCCATTTTCCCATTTACGGCACAGGACTCCATCCTGAATCAGCAAGCTGTCCCATTGGACCCAATAGCTTATCGTGGTCGAACTCATCGCTAAGACGTCGCTCCACTTGGGCTTAAGAGCACTGGCCTTCAACCATTCCAGAATCGGCTTAATGTCCGAATCTTCCTGCTGTGCATGTGCTGTGCTTCTTGACAATGCATCTGCATTGCCATGAGATTTCCCGCTGCGATGTTCGATCACAAAGTCGTATTCCTGCAGTAGTTCAATCAATCTCGCAACTTGTCCTTCCGGATTTTTGAACTGCAATAGCCATTTCAGTGCAGCATGGTCAGTTCGTAAGTGGAATTTCCGCCCCAGAAGATATTTGCTAAAATGCTCCAAGGACTTTACCACAGCAAGCAATTCCCGTCTTGTGACACAATAGTTCCTTTCCGGCTTTGACAACGACTTGCTGAAGTATGCTATCACAATCTCTTGATCACGATTCCGTTGAGACAACACACTGCCAAGTCCTATATCACTTGCGTCTGTGTCAACTATAAATTCCTTGCCCGCATCAGGGTACCCCACAATAGGTGTTTTGCACAGACGGTTCTTGAGCTCCTGGAATGCAATATCGCAACTTTCATCTCAGCAGAAATGTCGCTTCTCTTCGGTTAGCTTGGCTATATCATGTATAGCTATCTATATAGTTAGGTTTGGCTATATCTGCAAAGTTCTTCACAAATCGCCGATAATAAGAATACAAACCCAAAAATGATCTAACCTGTGTCTTGTCTTTTGGAACCGGCCAATCCTTGACAGCGGCAATTTTATCTGGGTCCGTGCGGATACCTTCTTCCGACACTACATACCCCAAAAAGCTAACTTGCCGTTTGAATAGTGAGCACTTCTTCGGACTCAACTTGAGGTTGGTACTCTGGATCTTCATGAGCACGCGTTCCAGGTTTTGAAGGTGTACCTCAAACCTACGGCCTACGATGATGATGTCATCCAAGTAGACCAGACAGGCATCTCCAATTAGCCCGGGAAGTACAAGCTCCATTAACCTTTCAAACGTTGCTGGAGCATTGCACAAACCAAACGGCATGACTTTAAATTGCCACAGACCCTTTCCTGTGGAGAATGCAGTTTTCTCCTTGTCCTTAGGGTCAATTTCAACCTGCCAGTAGCCACTTTTCAGGTCCAGAGTACTAAACCACTTTACGCCTGTAAGCATGTCCAGCGTGTCATCAATTCTTGGCAAGGGATAGCTGCCCTTCTTCGTAACGTCGTTCAGACGGCGATAGTCAAAACAAAACCGCATGCTGCCGTCCTTCTTCTTTCCTAGCACTACAGTTGAACACCATGGACTAGATGAAGGTTCAATAACACCATCCTTCACCATTCCCTCAATCATGGTTTCCACTTCCTTTTCACGTGTTACAGGCCGCTGACGAATAGGCAATTCTTGTCCTGTGTTTATTTTGTGTTGAACTAAGCCAGTCTTTCCTATGTCAGCTTCGTTTGACGAGAAAACATTGGCGTACTTGAGTAACAACTTCTTCGCCTTGATCATTTCATTCGGGCAGAGAACACTGCGACAGTCTTCTAAAAGTGTGGTCACTCTCGTTTGTCCGTCCTTGCTGGGGGTCCCAGTCGATAGATATTGGCACCGACGCAACCAATCCACTTCCTCACCTCACCAACCAATGTGCCTTTTTATATAATATATAATATAGTAGATAATTATCGTTATCACGTAATCGTGTAATTATCGTTATCGTATAATTATAGTAGATTAATTGTCGAAGGGTCGAAGGGTCGGTCGCCAGAGCGAGACATCTTTGCTGACTGACCGTAGTGTGTACTTGTATTTGTAGTGTAATTGGTATTTAATTTGATTCATAGTAATTTGTATTTGTGTAATTTGTATTGAATTTAATTTGATTTGTTTTTGTGCCGCGGATTAATTTGTATTTAGTAGTGATGCCATCGCACAAGCTACCGATGCGTCGCATGAAGGCGGAGCTGTAGCGGTTGTGAGTAAACAGGCGAATTTGATGTGCTCTTTGAATACGTGTACATATGTTTTGTAAATATATTTGATCATTATGTTTGCTTTGTTGAAGAGAAAATTGAAATTGAGTAACACTATTTGTGCCGAAGGAAATAAAAATCAATCCTCTTTTTGTTTTCACATTTTTGTTGGCATTGTCGAAGATATTTATTTGGAAAGAGAAATAGGGCTGTCTCTTATGTTTATCGTTTTGCTTAATTTGTCTATGCGCATCAAGAAATAAATTTATTGCAATTTATTTTCAAGTTTACATAGTGGTTTTGAGTATTGATGCTTTTGAAAGTTGGTTGAAATATAAGCATAGGACTACATGTCTAAAGGGCTAGCTAGTTGGGAGATTATCAGATTGAAATCAGCTGCTGCACAATTGAGTAAATGATTATATGGTAGATGGCTTGGTTATGCCTACTTGCGTGAAAAATCATACTAAGGCCTATCTGTGCGTTTCGTGTGCCTCGCCACTGAGGCCGTTCATTTGGAACTTGTGCGTGCCCTCAGCACTGAAGCCTTTGTAGCCACGCTGGGCCGTTTCGTATCGCGTCGCGGTTTGCGGACCTGATCCGGTCTGATTGCGGAACGAATCATAGTGGCACAGATAGATGTTTGAAAGCGGTCGTCGAATTTCTGTCTAGTAACAGGATTTATTTAGGTGCAGCGATGTCCAGGAAGAGCATCCAGTGGAGGTTCGACCCTCCGGCTTGCCCATATTGGGGCGGTATATTGAGGCGGTGGTTACGGTTGTAAGATCTGATGGGGTGCCTAGGGTGGCCGAGGTTTTGGTTGGAGATTCGGTCTTGCAACGTGCCGTCGCGACCCTATCCCGTTTGCCAATTTACTCGCGGACATAAGGCCTTATGCCCGGGACGGGGGTTTATTTGCGCTAAATGTTAATTTTTAAAAACTGTATTACGAGCGCTCGCGTCCATGGTAAAGGGGTCGCTGCCGGGCCTCTTCCCCGCGCGCGTTCCCCCGTTCACGCCCGGTCACCTGATGTGTAGATAACGGGACTGGTTTTGCCGAGGCGTCGAGCGCCTAACTGTAGCTCGACGTGTGGGCCATAGTATAGTCTTGTTTGCGACCGTTAGTGGGTTGCGAGCGTCCGGTGCTTTGATTTGAAAATTTGGGTCAATTATTGACATTAATTACTGTAGTTTTGCTCTATTAGAACCGCGAGGTCGCGTGCATAAGGAAGCCTCTAATTCATGTCGTTTTTTGTTGGTACGTTTGCGTAATGACGAGGCGTTTGTTCTTGAATTTGATTGATTAAAAGTAGTTTCGTTTGCAAGTAATTTACGCCAATTTGTGTAGTGATTGCATGTAAGCAAATTAAATATTGCACATTTTGCAATATTTAATTTACTTGTGTGACGTGGTACCGTGCGCGCACGCCGAGTGGACAGCCGGCCTGGAATTTGATGCTCGAATTCCATTTCGAGGGCGCGGCCCGGTTAATTGTTTTTTGGAAGTTAATGTTGCATTGTAACGTCGCGTTAAGTGCCTTTTTGTGTGTTGACTATTTTCGTTAGTTTTACGTGTCAACGAGGTTGATTTTGAGTTTTGATTACGGGCGTGGTATTTTAATATCGTACGAAAGAATTTTAGCTTGTCGGGAGAACGCTGAACCTTGTGACTCGAGAAGAGACCGCGTTCGTTCCCGTGTTTGTAATTTGTTGCTAAGTGAAAATGGAACGTTGAACTTTGATCGACCGTTCATTAGTTGTGCTGTGTGTCACTTGTTTGATTACGATTAACGGGGATTTAGTTGAGTTTGAAGTTAATTAAATGTACAATAAAGTTGATAATCTGAAATAATGAAGTGAAGGCAGAAGCTCTCAATTGGTGAACTACGACTGCACATTTGGAGAACGGCAGCGCCTGCGGTCAGACTTCAACGGTCAAGTCAGGTTACATTGTACACACTACTACACAACACTTTACATGCACATCACTTATCACCTGACAGGTACCCTGTGGTCAACCCTACCTCCAGAGATCGGTGAGTTTTGTTTATCAGCAGTTTTAGAATAATTGTCCATAGGCCATTGGGCCCCGCTCTCTGTTGCCCGTCGATGGGATCACTCATGGGCCCTGGTCCAGTCGACCTTTGTCGGGGCAGCTAAGGGCGTGTACAGTTATTATTAGGTGAAAATTTAATTTAATAAAAATCAAGGTTTTTCAGGGTTATTTACCTACTTATATGTATATAGTTTTTTTTTATAAAACAAAAAATAGTACAAAAGGTTTCCCTTTACAATTTTTGATGTCAATTAAACCTTATCAGGTCTAAATAAGTGGAAAAAGCATAAAAAAGAACATTATTTTTACACATGGCTGATGGCACAATAGGCGTGTCATCAACTTCTATGGAAATATTTCTTCGCCGCCACAGCTAAAAGTTGTCGAAAATTGGTGTCGGAATGAATCGGATAATAAAAAAAAATGGAAAGCTTAAGCACTTATGACTAAGTAGGTTCAATAAAAGAAAATATTCCATGTCACTAATGTTTTTAATCAAATCAAGATCGTAAAGTTAATCCATATGAATACAAAATTATAAGTAAAAACGTACATTTTATGAATTGTATCCATTTTAAAATACTTAAATAAATAGTTTCAAATTAATCCTAAAAGTATATACTTAAAGTATTATGTTAAGACAAATGAAATATATGTAGGTAGGAAAAGCAAAATATCATCTAATATTGGTACAACATACTTCATCAAAAACTTATATAATATATCACAAGTAAGAGATTAAAAATAACAATAATGTTATTTTTTATGAAAGCCGTGTATGAAAGCTTAGTTGCCACTCTGATGCTTGAATTTATTAAAATAGTGTTGCCAACATAAATAATCATTTAATAATATAAATATCATTTGAAGTAATGTGATGAATAAAAAAAATAGTGTCATTAAAATTTAGTCCAGATATAAATTAATGATGTTTTAATGATAAGTATAAACTTAGAGCAATTAAGAAAATGATACGTTTTTCCACTTCTACTTTGTATATGGATAGTGGTACATAAAATACAATACACTTGGCGTAGAAAGAATTGGCAACCTATTTTTAAACGACTTCTCTCGTAATATACAAATCACTATAATATATTTAATTGTTAACAAGCTTTCTAAATAAATCATCTTTTTCAACATTTAAAAAAAACATGGCAAGATTTCTCCTACAATATTAATACATAACTGTCTTTTACTGGAATCAATGTTTGAAAAGTCAATAAAAACGTAAATATTGTCCTTAGTTATATAATTATTTAATGACTGTCAAATTATTGAAATTCATTAACCATAAGAGCAGGTGCAACTTTGCTCTTGTTAATACCTAACGGAAATTTAAAAGTTGTTCATTCGATTAGAATCAGGTACAAAGATAATAAAACATAAAACAAGAACAACCATAAACCAAATCCTATCATATTTCATAAATATAAAGAAAGAGCATAATACATCGAGCGTACATATGCTTAATATTTCATTATTTCCTAGGATTATAACCATACTTGATTACATTTATTATTCATCTATTACTTTTAAACTAAGTGCTAATTGAGATCCATCTTTATAATTTCAATATAAATAATAATTGGATTATTTTAAAAGTACAAACCGACTACAGTGACTGGAATTGATTGAAATTAAAATGTGGTACTAAGAAATCGCATTTAAAAAAAACAGCAAAATCATTAAAAGAGATATTGTGTTACTTTACCCAATTCAAAGATATTAGTGGTAGTGGCTGTTTATTATTTAAATTAAATTCTGAGAATAAATGAAATAGTGGATTTTAAAACATTTCCTACACATAAACTATATACATAATATGGCAAAAAAAAGTAAAATGGTTTTCATTTTTATTTTAACTTTAACATTTTAAAAACTCATGTTCATGGAATGTTAAAATTCAAAAATAGAACACTTATTTTAGTTTTCACATGTTATTCCAGGGGCACATTACGAGTGGTAATTACTAAGAGTAGCATTTGCCATGTGGATGTGATGTAAGAGAAATGTTACAATATTATGGTTTCATGATTACTAGGCGTTAAATACTAAGATCGGCGTAACTTCTCGCACTGCGATCGTCAAGCCGCCTGCAAAGCGTGACTCTGAATAGTCACGCAAATTCTTTCTATAACGATCGACGCCCCATATATAAACTTTAAGGCCCGGCTACACGCTCAATCTTACTTGCATAAATTCTAATTTGCATAAGCAAGCATGTACGTTGTACGTTAAGCCGGCGAAACGGTAAACAGTGCAAATGGCTTGCATAAATGCTTAATTTGCTCAAAGTAAAGTTACACTAGCAAGCATGAACG